GAGGAGCCTAGGGCTCGTGAAGATCGCCATGGAGAGCGGTATGATGTTCCATATGTTCTTTTCATTTTAGAAAATTTTGTGCCAATACATGTGTGCTTCTTTCAAATAATGGTTTCAGCATTTGACTGGAACTTCAGTTTATTGTTAATTTTAGATTCTGCCGATTTAATATTTTCAGAGATAGGGAAAAGTCTTATGAGAAGGGAAGAGACAGAGAAAGAGAGAGAGAGAAGTCTCATGAACGTTCCCGTGAGAGATCTAAGGATCGTGATGTCAAAGAAGATAGGCATCACAGAGATCGTGATAGGACTAGAGATAGAGATCGGGACAGAGAAAGGGACAAAGAGAGAGATCGTGGCCATGACCGCGATAGAACACGTGATCGTGATCGTGATCGAGGAAGGGATCGAGGCCGTGACTATGAGCGTGATAGAGGTCGTGATCGGGATCGTCATCGCGACAGAGATAGGGAGAGGGATCGGGATCTTGAAGGGGGATTTCCAGACCCTGATCGTGGTCGCTCCCATGATAGGGAATCCGATTATGATAGGGAATCCGATTATAATCGGGAATCAAAATATGAAAAGGATAGACATGGTGATAGGGACAGAGATATTGATCGTGCTGAAACAGAAGATGGTCATGGGTGGTATGATCAGCCTGAGTATGGGCATCGACTCCCAGATAATGATCCTGATCACCAAAACGACAATCACTTTGAACATAACCATAGTCGGGGACAATATGATCACCCAGAAGACCATCGTAACCAAGATCGTTATGATCAGAATGATAGAATGGAGGATGATTAACATTGTGACCGTGGCGCTTCTGAATCATGCGATAGAGAGGCCCCGTGATTTTAATCATGAATTTAGGCACAGTGAGAGATCTCATTCGAGAGAATACGAGTTTCTCATGCTGCAGTGTGTACCGCTGGTAAGTATTTGCTCACTTTCTTCTCCTTTTCTTTATAACTGATAAAGCAGCCAGCCCTTCTCCCATATATGTTCCCTAGTGTTCTTCCAGGAGGAGGTTGAGATGATATCAAATATCAGGAAAGTACTATGTAGCTGCCGTGATCGATGTTGGAATTGTCTTCTTTCTTCTGTTAATGTTACTAAAGATTCTGGATGCCTGATACTGTTTCTTCTTGGGAGTTTCAATTATTTCAGCTACTTTATCATGCAGATTGTTGCTTAGTTTAAACTTCTACGAGCGTCATAGAACATTGAATGCTTGATTTGATTGAACATCGTTTTGGTGACAACAAGGTCAATATGGAAAACAGTTTGTTACAACTTGATATCAAGGAGTTTCATGAATCTCATTGTTCATACGTCTTTGGAATCTTTGAAGGCCTATAAGAATGACCCTTGAATTTTTATGAAAATTTGGAACAAATTTGTTACAAGTTTTGAACTTGTAAGGTCCAAATTAATGAATACTAAACTTTAGAGTCCACTTTGTGTCGTGGGTGGTCAAAAGAACGAGGCACTCGACCTACCAGTTGCAGACCCAATGGGCTCAAGCTGCCCAAACTGGAAACTGTCCATGAAACTCCTTGATATCAAGTTGTGAAGCTAAGCGATTACCCAATAGTCAGGCCATACAAGTTAGGCAAAAACGTATGAACAATGAGATTCATCCCTCATTAAATCTGTATGCAATCTTAATTACTTGGATAAGAAAATAAAATCTTGTTGGGAATCGAACTCAGGTCTTCTAGGTGATGAAAACTAAATATCTTAACCACTAGATTGTTGAGATGTTTTGAATATTTAAATATTTATTTTAATCATATTTATTCTGCTGAATTTTTATGGTTATATTTTAAGAAAAAATTAAGCTTATAAACTCAATTGGGACCTATGATTTTCTTTATTTCAAGTTATTCCTTTGTTAATAAATTGTAAAACCGAACTTTAACTTATCAATATAAAAAATTAGAGTGTTTATTATTATTATTATTTAAAAATTAACTTAGAAAAAAGTATTGAAGAACGTGGGGGTGGGTTTTGGATGTTTGGAAGCATCCAATAATTGAGGCAAAGATACAACGAACATTTCTAAGTTATTATTTTACACTTTTGGGAGTTGTTATTGATTGAATCACCTAATTGTGTGTGTTTTTCTTTTATTTTAGGCACCCAATACTCATCACTTTATTTCTCCAATCTTACCAAACAACAACCCCTTTTCTAATAATATCATATTCTTATTATGTCTCCTTGGGTCACCTTTGTGTTCATGTTTTTTAATTAAATTTTAATGATAACATAATTTTAGACTTTTTTTAAATATATATATAAAAGAATATTATTGAATTTTTTTAACAATATATTCTTAAACAAAATACAAAATTAATGAGTATTTTTATTAATTTAGCCTAAATTACCAATTATTAATCTAATTAATGCATTTTAAAAAATAATTTATGCCCAAAATAGGTGGCCTACACTGGAAAACTTACGCTGCTTCCTGCACCACCCAATTATTCCAAATACATCTGAAAAAAAAAATGAAAAAAAAAAAGAAGCAAAATCCAATTACAGTCCTGTCCTTTTCACCTCGACACTAACCACAAACATCGCCATCCTGGGACACGCAATCCGTACACTGCGTTACATATATGTCGTCTCCCAATTTGGTCTTTTTTTTTTCCACCAACAATGTTACAACATTTTTATATTATCAAATTTAACTCAAATTATAACCTAAATTTAATTAAATATTGTAATTTTTTACCATACATTTAATTTTCATAAAATACAATGTAATAATATTCAATTTCAAATTAATTAGGGTGTAATTTCATAAAAACACATAAATTTGATGAATGTATCTTTAAAATATTATTATTTTTCGTTAATACTCCAAAATTAATTATGCCTATAATGGTGGAAATAAAATTATATACTTCTTTAACAAATTTATCCATCTGTTTATTTCATGGTATTTAAGCAAGTAATTATTACAAAAATATGACCAGAAACTTGTAATTATATATTATTATTTTTGTTAATACTCCAAAATTAATTTTGTCTATAAGGATAGAAATAAAATTATATATTTCTCTAACAAACGAATCACATTATGTCTATTATGGTATTTAAGTAAGCAATTATTAAAAAAAATAATTAAAAACTTATCATCGTTTATTTGTGTCAGCATTTTTCTATATTTAAACAGAGTCCATAATGATTCGTCGTATATTTGACTTTTTATATTACTAAAGTTTTATTCATTTTTTTTATTTATTATTTAATAATGGGTGATGAGATCGAATTAACTCCATTGGTATGAGGCCTTTTGGGAAGCCCCAAGCAAAGCGAGAGCTTATGCTCAAAGTGGATTTAATGAAAATTATGAAACTCGAACCGAGCTTAACAGGCTTAGTAATTTATGATAATAACAACCTATTTTGTAGGTCAAAGATTACCTAATTGTAATGTTTTATATATATAAATAAACTATGAAGTTTGAGAGTAAGAAGTGGAAGAGTGGGGCCTACAACCTCTTCTCCATTTGATTGCTTTGATTATATTGGTGTTTAGTCTAATCGTCTATATTAAACCCTTTTAACGGTGGGATTTGATTGTTTTCATTTTTTTTAATACAGAATTTTGAAGTCATGTACATGTTTTTGTTTTATTTTTGATTGGCAATATATTGTTAATTAAAATATAACATATGGTGTCAGTGAACTATCTATTTAAATTACCAAATTGGTGAGGCTGACAAAATTTAATGCTCTTTTAACTCTGCAACTTTATTTATAAAAAATGTACAATAATAACACGAACGGCAAGCAAAGAGAGTTGATTGAATGGAGGGCTGGGATTTAACGGGAGATGCAAGGAAGAGGGAAACATGGGCCGTTGATGAAGACATTGAGAGTTGACTAACAAGAACAAATCAGTGAGGCGCAAGCTGATGACTTATGTTGACATTGACACCACTAATGGGTTTCTCACTACTCTAAACCCAACACTAAAATTGTATTGTCTTACCCTATTTATTTTCCCCTAAAAATGCTTTTGAAGCCGAGCTGCGGAAGAATTGATTGACCTGTCTCGGCTATGTTCGTGTTACTGATATTTGTCTGTATCTGTAGTAGCTTACTAATTTTTCTTGTTTGGTAAATGCACATGTGTAACTTCCGATGTTGAAGGATGAGTGTCCGTTGAGCTTTTTTGGTCCTTCAAAAGACTTAAATTTAAACTTCAAAGGCAAAGTGGATAGTGAAAGCGAGGTCATCAACGGTTCAAAAGGAACATGGTTCTTGTTTTTAATAAAGCATTCACTTTGCCTCTTTTTACCTTTCCACTCTCTTTTTTTACCCTAGCCTTTACCCCTAATCCCCCCTCACCCCCAACCTAATAAAGTATGCCTACTCTCACAATTAAATAATTAAATAAATAATATACGAAACAAATTATTAGATTTAGATCGAGCGTTAACATGGTAAATAGTCATAATGTTACAATTTTTAATTATCATGGAACTTGGATATAACATATATATATATATATATATATTTGTTTATTTATTTATAACGTGGAGGGCGACGTTGAAGAAGGGGTTCACGTGAAACGGGGCGTTTTGAGTGAGTCATCTGTGCTCCCATAAGAATTTAACTGACAAACACGGCCCTGCAATCCCCAATCTCCATCTCCCTTCTATACAAACAAATCCGCGCCTCTCCGCCACTCTTTCAAATTTGGACGGACAGGATCTTCCGACCACCTTACCATCTCCTACGTCATCCGACGGCGCTCTCGAGGTTACTCTTAAATTAACGTGTCACTCTGAACTTGGGTGTCTGGTCCCCACTTGTTCTTGTCAGTTTCCCCGCATTGAGCGGGAGCCACTCCACCTCCCTCTCCCTCTCCACGTAGATGGACATCATTCGGTCTCGTCAGATCCCCACTGGGGCTCACCTGCCACGTCCTCCCTATTCAACTCTTCTCACCATTTCCCTTAAATGTTCATTTCTTTTCTTCTCTTCTCTTCCCAACGTGGGCCCACCCTTCTCCGGTGGAAACTTTTCTTTTTCTTTTTTATCTCTCTCTGACCTCTCTCTCCCCCTCTCTCCCTCACTTTCTCACTCTCTTCTCTCTGCATAAACAGCCTCACCGACGACCTCGCCGCCGTGATCTCTTCACTTCCGCCGCCTTTCCTTTCTGTATGCATTTCTTTACCTACTGTCTTTTCCGGGGCTTATTTTAACTAGTTTTGAGTCGCTGTCGCTGACTTTTTTTTTTCTTCTTCTTCTTCTTCTTTTTTGCTTGCATGTTTGAAATGGTGTGACTGTAGATTCTTATTTTGGCCGGAAAATGGCGAATATGTGTGCCGATAGCGGCAATCTTATGGCGATTGCTCAGCAAGTCATGAAGCAGAAGCAGCTACAAGAGCAGCAACAGCAGCAGCACCCACAGCAGTCGCCTCAGCAGCTCACTGGACCCTGTACTTTCGGTCTCAACCCATGGACTGCCTCGAACCATTCTCTGTCCGGTGCGCCAGATTTGGGGTTTGGGCTCTCCGGAGCTGGATTTCCCGACCCGTTTCAGGTTCAGAGAGTAGTCGACGGTGGAGATACGAGCTTTCAGTTTCCCAACTTGGAGCACCATTCTTCTGCTTTCAGATTTACCGATTTCGACGGCGGCGCTGCGGCAGAGTTCGACTCCGATGAGTGGATGGACAGTCTAATAGTCGGTGGAGATTCAACGGAGAGCTCTAATCTTCCTTCTGGTTGCGAAGCGTGGCAGTCTAATTCGGATTTTGCTTTCTATGGTGCCGATCCCTTTATCCCCTGTCCCAGTCGCCTCACTATTCCCTGTTCTTCACCCTCTGATCTTAACAGAGTCATTTTCCCTGATCCTCCCAAAAGTCAAACCGCCGTTCAACCGCCGGTGGTCTCGTGGACGGGACTTACGTCGGCGACTCCACCGGCGGTCGTCAAGGACACTCAAGTTCCCAACCCTCCCCTTATTGTTCACAAGAGTGATGATAACGGCGGTTCGTCGAGTTCTGCAAAGACTGAATCGACTCCGCCGCTACTTAAAACCCTAATTGAATGTGCTCGACTCTCCGAATCGGAGCCAGATCGAGCGGCGCAAATGTTGATTCAGCTTAAGGAATCGTCATCGGAGCACGGAGATCCGACGGAGAGAGTCGCCTTTTACTTTCTCGAAGCTCTGTGCCGGAGATTGTCACTTCGATCGGAGAATTGTTTGGTTTCTTGCGAATCCACTTCCGATGATTTCACTCTCTCTTATAAAGCTCTGAACGACGCTTGCCCTTATTCTAAATTCGCACATTTGACGGCGAATCAAGCCATTCTCGAGATTACAGAGAACGCAAGCAGGATTCACATAATCGACTTTGGGATTTCACAGGGAGTTCAATGGGCGGCTCTTCTTCAAGCTCTCGCAACCCGCTCTACCGGAAAACCAACAGGAATTCGGATCTCCGGCATTCCGGCTCCGATGCTCGGGAACTGTCCGGCGACGGCGCTGTTCGCAACAGGTAACCGACTGGCCGAGTTCGCGAAGCTTCTGGAACTAAACTTCGAATTCGACCCAATTCTGACTCCGATCGAAGAACTGAACGAATCGTCGTTCCGAATCGAGTCGGATGAATCCCTGGCCGTGAATTTCATGCTTCAATTATACAACCTCCTCGACGAAACTCCTCGCGCCGTTCTCAACGTTTTGAAACTGGCAAAATCGCTGAACCCTAAAATCGTGACCCTCGGGGAATACGAAGCCAGTCTAAACCGGGTCGGGTTCTTCACCCGGTTCAATAACGCACTCAGATATTACTCTGCCATGTTCGAATCACTGGACCCAAAATTACCTCGCGACTCAAACGAGAGGCTGCAACTGGAAAAGCTCGTGCTCGGGCGGCGAATCGGCGGCGTGGTGGGACCGGAGTCGTCGTCGTCGACGGGGGCGGCGGCGGCGGCGGGGGGAGGCAAAACGGAACGAATGGAAGAGAAAGAAGAGTGGAAAATGTTAATGGAAAACAGCGGATTTGAAGCAGTAAATCTGAGCCATTACGCGAGAAGCCAAGCTAAAATCCTTTTATGGAAGTACGATTACAGCTCTGAGTATTGTCTGATGGAATCCTCAGCTGGGTTCCTGTCGTTGGCATGGAAGGATGTCCCGATCATTACAGTTTCTTCATGGCGTTGAAAGCAACAGGTACCGTAATTCGTTTATTACATGATATTATAAAATGTAATTTCTTTTTTCCGTGCTGTAAAAAAATGATCTCAAGATATTTTAATAATCACATACCGCCATTGACGATCATATCAAAAATCACGGGAGTTTCAGAAATTAATTAAAGGATTGTTGTTGTTCTTGATCGAAATTGCAAACTGGAAATTGGAGATTGACTGGGTTTGTTTGGTGGTCGGAGTGGAGTGTGCATGGAGTGTGGGACCCCTTCCTCTGATCTGTGTTCTGTGTTTCTCTTACTCAGTTTATGTCTTCATTTGCACCGACTGTCCGGTAGTAACCGCCTCCACCCTTTTTAAATTATGTTCTTTTCAGATGGGTCCTTTTCTCTATTATTTTTGCTGGGATGTCCTTTTTCGACAACGAACATATCTAATTTTTGGGGATAGTAAAGAGATAATGTATACATGTTCTTTGGACAATAATTTTGAACATTTAAACCTTTGATCTTAAACAGCAACCCGACATTGGACATGTTCTCGCGCGGGTGCTTCCCTTAGCTCCCTCGTCTTTGATGCTCAATTTTTCGTTCGTCTTTCTATTTTTTATTTTTAATATCGTTGAGGGGTCAATTTTTTTATTCTTATGATTCCTTTTAAAGAAGTTTTATTTGATACAACCTAATCTTTCTTTTATCATAAGTATTAAACTCTTATTTATGTTCAAATTTAAACTTATATAAATATGTTGAACCCTAATTTAATTATGAATTTGCTAGGTAGTACACTTATCTACTCTACTCCAACAAATTAAGTAAAGGTATCAATTGATCTAAAAAAATATGTACACAAATTCTTTTGTTTTTTTAGAAACAAAATGAGGTAATTTAAATGGCTAATACATTCAGTGAAATTAAAAGGTCGGGTTTTCTAGTTTAAAAATAAAAGCATTCTTTAATTTAAGCAATTGGAAATACACCCGACCTTAGCTCAGTTGGTAGAGCGGAGGACTGTAGTGAGTTGTTCTCAGATAATATCCTTAGGTCGCTGGTTCAAATCCGGCAGGTCGGATTCATTTTTCTTAAATAGCTACATATTCTAATATGTTTGAATATCTTTAAAATTAAATAAATTATAAAATTTAATCAGAAACGTTGCACATGTCCGACCTTAGCTCAGTTGGTAGAGCGGAGGACTGTAGTGTGGTAATCGCTGGTATCCTTAGGTCGCTGGTTCGAATCCGGCAGGTCGGACTTTTTTATTTTTAATTATCATTTTCGTTTATAAATTAATTTTTTTATATTTTATCATTAAACAATGAACATTCACGAGATATCGCCACGCAGGCTACGTGTCATGTTTAAACTACAGTGCAAGAAAGTTTGGATTCGTCAACGCCACGCAAGATTTCAATCGTGTGAAGGTGTTACACGTGTCTTAATGACTCCACGTGTCACGCTTACAACGTGACAATTTTCCCAGTGTAGCTTTGAAGTTGAGGAAGATTTCCACCTTACTATCTCTGTCTGACTAATTTGATATTAAACGATTCTTCCACTTAACTTCAAAAGCAAATATGATAAATGCAATCAGATTCGGCCGCAGTCCACCGCCAATCGTGCTCACATTACCTCTTCCGCCGCAGCTCCGCCGTGAGCTCCGATCCCGTCAACTGATCGGTTTTTCCACCGCTCCTGATCAGAACCCACAGAACATGGATGACTCTAAGAGCACTGCCAAGCAGACTGAGTTAGATCTTTCTCGTTTCTGTGTGCATAGGCCAGTTTATGGGGCATGTTAAAAGGTTAATTTTTTTGAAATGTGTGTGAAAGCAGAGATCTAATGACTGATTCGTTTGGGGACGCGTATGCGAGCCGAAGCGAGGAAGAAGGATTTGGAGGGATTTATAGATCGATTGAGTCAACCGAAGAGGGGGCTGAGAATGAAAAGAAATCTGGTAATTAAATTCTTATGCATTTTCCTTAATTAAATGATGATGATGATTAGTGTGTTTAATTACTATGTTGTTTGAATTGTGTTTTGAAGAATATGATAAAAGCCAAGGGAGCGAAGTGAAGGAGAAGGAGAAGGCTCGACATCAAACTCACTCCAACTGCTAAGAGCAACGATGTTGTCTGATACTCGTTTGTATTATGTCTGGTGTTTTTCGTCGTCATGTTGTTCTCGTGAGAAGTTAGTTTGTATAAAATCTAAATTTGTATTTTGTAAATTAATTGGAACAATACTGGATGTGATGATAAGGGGTTGGGCGAAAGGATTACCTTATCTCTTGCTTTCTTCGTTCTTCCTTCCATCTCCGACAAGATGGATCACCTGTTTGAAATTATTGGTCTAGTCAACTTCTTTTTCAAATAAAGTTCTAGTCTTTATGGAGTTTCACTCGTTCTGTTGATATTTTTTAGATATTTTTATGTTCAACAACTTTATCGGATATGTATTTTTTGTGAAGGATATGTATTTATCGTTGTTGATATTTCTTTTTGTAATGGCTAGACATTAGTCACCATGCTTAAAATTAATAAAAGAATTGTTTATGTTCTCTGCTAAGGGTGCCCCTAACCCTAGTTAGGGGTGTACGTGGGTCAGGTTCTAGCTAGGAGTGTAGATGGATCGAGTTGGGTCGATGTGAGGGTACTTGTAGGACCAATTCTCACTTTGGGTTAATTCGAATATATTTAGGTTTTGAAGGTAATTTAACTGGTATGTAAATCAACTTAATCCAGCCCAGTACTTAAAAGAATTGTTTAGGTTCTCTGCTAAGGGTTCCCCTAACTAGGGTCGGGTGTACGTGGATCGGGTTCTAGCTAGGAGTGTATATGGATTGAGTTGGGTCGGTGTGAGGGTACTTTTACACCTTGGGTTGATTCGAATATATTTGGATTCTGAAGGGTATGTTAATTGGATTGATTCGATGTACACTCCTTATTTGGGCTGTTGCCCATTACTTAAAAAGATACATAAACATCTTTGTTATAAGCCGTACATATCCGAATATTTAATTCGAGAAGAAACGATATTGGATAATCGTTGATGACGTGGCAAGCATAAGGTCGTTTAGGTCGCTGGTTTGAATACCGTCGGATTTATTTTTCTTAAATAAAAAATTAGAGAAATAGCTCCATATTCATAGATGTATGTTTGAATCTCTTTAAAAATAAATAATGAATACAAATTAATAAAAAAACCTCACCCATCCAGATGGAGGACTGTAGCGTGGCAGGTCGGATTTTTTTTTTTTTTTTTTTGTAATTATTATTTTTGTTTATATATTAATTTTTTTACATTTTATCTATCATTAAACAATGAACATTCACGGGATATCGCCACGCAGGACTACGTGTCAAGTTTACACTACAGTGCAAGAAAGTGTGGGTACGTCGACGCCACGCAAGATTTCAACTGTGTGAAAGTCACACACGTGTCATACTTACTCCACGTGTCACATTTACAATGTGAAAATTTTCCAAATGTAGCGTTCATCAAGTTGGGGAAGATTTCCACCTATTCTTCCACTTATCTTCAGAAGCAAATATGATAAATGCAATCAGATTCGGCCGCAGTCCACCGCCGATCGTGCTCACATTACCTCTTCCGCCGCAGCTCCGCCGTGTAGACTCGCCTGAGCTCCGATCCCGTCAACTGATCGGTTTCTCCACCGCACCTGATCAGAACCCACGGAACATGGATGACTCTAAAAACACTGCCAAGCAGACTGGGTTAGATCCTTCTCGTTTCTGGTTGCATGGGTCAATTTATGGGGCCGTTTTAAAAGGTTAATTTTGTTAAAATGTGTGTAAAATCAGAGATATAATGACTGATTCGTTCGGGCAAGCGTACGCATGCCGAAGCGAGTATGAAGGATTTGGAGGGATTTATAGATGGATTGAGTCAACCGAAGTGGGGGCTGAGAATGAAAAGAAACCTGGTAATTAAATTCTTATGCATTTTCCTTAATTAAATGATGATGATGATGATTAGTGTTTTAATTACTGTTTTGTTTGAATTATGTTTTGAAGAATATGATAAAAGCCAAGGGAGCGAAGTGAAGGAGGAGGAGAAGGAGAAGGAGAATGAGAAGGCTCGACATCAAACTCACTCCAACTGCTAAGAACAATGATCTTGTCTCATACTCGTTTTGTATTATGTTTATGGTTCTTCTTTGTCATGTTGTTGTCTTAGTTGGTATAAAATCTAAATTTGCATTTTGTAAATTAATTAGAAGAATATTGGGCGTGATGATAAGGGATTGGACCACCCCATTGTGTGTCGGAATGTACATGGTTGAAGTTGCACGTATTCGAAGTCTCGCTGAAAGGGGTGTACATGGTTCGGGTTCGGGGAGGGTCAGAGTCAGCCAGTACCAATTCAAAACCACTGAATCCCAAGTTTTGTCCAACCCCAAAACCCAAAACGAATATATTCCGATTCTAATGCTAATTTAACTCAACCCAATCTCTATGGGTCGGGTCGGGTTCCATCTTGGTTGGACCAATTCAAAAGTTAGTATTTCCACTGAATCCCAAGTTTTGTCCAAACCTAAAACCCAAAACGAATATATTCCGATTCTAACCCTAATTTAACTCAACCCAATCTCTATTATTCGGGTCGGGTATTGGGTGATGTACATACCCGGCCTATTATTTTAAAGATGCGTAACGTCTTTGTTATAAGCCGTACATCTCCCGAATATTTAATTCGAGGAAAAACGATTTTGGATAATCGTTGACGTGGCGAGCATAAGGTGGCTTGGGAACAACGCTATCGATGATCAATTGTCAACGAACGCATCTCCGTTTTAACTTGCCTCTACCGCCTCGGGACTTCTATTATTCCACGTTACGAATTTTCAGCCGTTGATCTGTACCCGTATTGCTCAATCCACGCGGTGCATTTGACTTGGCCCCCATATATAATACATTAGGGCTCCTTCCCACCGTTCTCATCCCAATTCTGTTTTTCCTTCACCGGTCCTCGTTTTAGGTCTTCTTGCTGTGATTTATTTGGGAATTTTTTCCATCGTTGCGGTATGTCGGATGCGTATCAGAAATTCCGGTTGCTAACGGTGCTTTCTTTACGCGGAAATCCAAATTCAGGTTCGTGTCTTCTTTTATGCAATTCCAGTCGCCGTTCGTTCTGATTGGAATCTGTGTTTACAGTGATCGGGATCGGTCTTTGCGGCGTTGAATAATGTCTTCCATAATTAAAGGATTCTCACCGGATGTTCTAGGCCTTCTGCGTTGATGTTCCCCAATCGGAATGGATTCCTAATTCTCGACGGCTGTAGAGCTTCTATGTTAAGGCGAGGAGAGAACTATCCGTCGGGTTCGCTCCAACGCTGGGAGATGTTCGGCAGCTGCCCTGTGTAATTTCATCCAAGGAAGGTTGATTTGATTAGTGTGTCATGGATGTATAAGATATCAGGACGAAACCTCCCTATATTGGTAGGGAGGCGGTTTCTGGTCGATCTTTGTCATCCGACCTTTGCCATGACAGGTGCGCTTGCATGGCAGGTCAACTACGTTAATGGAAAAAAAGATTTTTGGGTTTAGAGGAGGGATCGCACGGGAATTGCCCGGGATCTCTCCTCTCTGGTGTGTTCCGATTCCCTTTCTCTTTATTTCTGTGCTTATTATGCGTGGCTGCCGTCAACTGCTTGCATCCTTTGGGATTGCTCAATCGCTCTCGCTCAACCGTGCTCGTTTCGAAGGTCCAAAAGGTATTAACAATTTCTTTGATCTCAATCAATTCGTAGATAGATAAACGTACAAGGAAGGTTAAAGCACGCGTTGGTAAGAGTAATACGTGAGCTAAGACTAATCTTCATTAATCTAGCCGGTATATAATCTTAATTTGCTTAATAGGATCCCTTCGCTAATATTCATACAGATTTACAGTAAAGTTTCATTTGGTTATTTAGCTTTGAGGGTAATTTGACCGAGATTTGTCTTGCCAACTACTATCTTTTTTTTATCTCTTAGTAGAATTATCATTCGCACAACGCTTGGAAGATACCGATTTCATAGCTTTGTATTAGTCGTCTTCTCCTCTCGGGAAGCTCGATCATGGTAAATTAATAATTTATTTGTTAGTCTGGACCAAAATAGTAAAAGTTATTTTGATTTCCCATTCAAGTTGTGTGTTCATTTTATTCAAAGAATGACAGAGTACCTTGGGTTGAGGCTTCTTTTTATGTGCGCCGTATGATGGTCGTTCTAAGTCTGTATATGATACTCAACATTTTATTATCGTCACATTGTAAAACACATATAGAAATGGAACACGCATAAAGGAAACTAATTTGGATCGGGTCAAGGATCGAAGGATGATATGAACTTCGCCATGGATGAGCTGTTGGATCTGCCGATTTTTGTCAAAGTGCTGTTTCGTCCCAAGAGTAATCTGACTGTGTGGGTAACTTAAAATTTTAAATTCTTGCTTAATTTTAGCAAAACATCTCGAAGTTTTAAGGCGTCTTCACTTTTGTTATGAATTTCTGTTCTCTGTATTCCACTTCCACACTACAACTGTTTCGCGTGTTCTATTTTGGTGTATCAGTACTGAATTTTTGCAATGGTATGATGATAATTACTGTTATGTTATTTATTCCACTTAACTTGCAACGGAATACGTTGTGGCTGGCTGTGTTTTAGGTAGACCCGGTTTTTCAGAGGATGACGGTATCTATTCTCCATGAGCGACTGCTGTAGAATGGTAGTCTGTTCGTGTTTTTGGAATTTTGCATAGTGACCAGCTGTAAGATAATGTATGTCCAACATTTTTTGCATTTATGGTAATGGCTTCTCGTATATTAGAAATGAAATATTATTCAAGTTCAAATTTCATCTTTGTAGTTTGTTCATTTTGTTAGGATCGCACAACAACGCACACACTTGACTAGATGAACACAAAGAATACAAAGAAAAGGATAGAGAAAATGCAAGGAGAAAGTACCTTTACGAAAGGGAACCTACCTTTTTAAAAGGGAACCTACTTTTCAAAGAATATATGGGTTCCCTATCTTTTCAAAGAATATATATGGTTTAGCTCAAAAGGAACCGAAAATATATATGGTTTAGCTCAAAAGGAACCGGAAATATATATGGTTTAGCTCAAAAGGAACCGGAAATATATATGGTTTAGCTCAAAAGGAACTGGAAATATATATGGTATAACTCAAAAGGGAACCTACTTTTTCAAAAGGGAGTATATGGTTTAGCTTACTACGTATACCTTACCAGATATAGTTTTATCTGTATATAGCAATTTATTATTTATGACATTTTTTTATATGTTATTTACTCTTCATGACACCTACTGAGGCTTTGCACAACCTCAATATTTCAACACAACCTCAATATTCCAACATCTGTCGGTTTGTTAGATTCTTTGTACCCTTTATCTTCTCCAAGCACATCACTATCTTTCACTAACTTCAAGTGAAATGGTATCGTTTTCTGTGTTTTTTCTTTAAATGATAGATCGGGTTCCTCACCAACTGTATGACACTTCACGATTTCGATAGCCATACTAGTGATTTGGAGGAGATCTCTCGAAAAGTATTTAGTGCCCATTTCGGCCAACTCTCCATCATCTTTCTTTGGCTGAGTGGGATGTATTTCCACGGTGCTCGTTTTTCCAATTATGAAGCATGGCTAGGCGATCCTACTCACATTGGCCCTAGTGCCCAGGTGGTTTGGCCAATAGTGGGCCAAGAAATATTGAATGGTGATGTAGGCGGGGGTTTTCGAGGAATACAAATAACCTCTGACTATCTCTATAAAGAATCTCTTCGTGCTGCTTCTTTCCCAATTCTTTCAAATAGTCAGTCATCCATATCGTCTTCTTTCTAGCTTCAGTTATTGCCATGTACTCAGCCTCAGTACAACACATTTTTGAAGCCTAGACGTCCCATCATCCATGGCTTGCTCCCACTTGGTTGTATCCTCTAACTATAGGGTCTCATCAAAGGGCTCTGGTTCCCTTTCATTAGCAACAGATAGTGTAATGAAGGTACATACATATCTGGTACTCTGATAGTACTGGATGATCTTTTCAACACCGGCTCAGGTGTCACTTGCTCTACTTCTGGTTCCTCTGCAACAACCTCAAGAGTTTGTTGAGTATCTGCTACAAGATCACTAGATGATTTTCTCCGCAACTCAACCTCAACTCCCACTTGTTTCATTGTCTTGGAACCTTGCTCCACATCTAGTTCCTCAGCAGTAGTGTCAGTAGTGTCAGGTGTTTCATGAGTATCTGCTACAACATCACTTTGTGAGTTTCCTTGCAACTCAAGCTCAACTCCCACTGGCTTCGTGGTCTTGGAACCTTGCTTCACATCTAGTTCCTTAGCAATAGTATTAGGAGTTTCATGAGTATCTGCTATAACATCACTTAGTGAGTTTCTCTGCAACTCAAGCTCAACTCTCACTTACTTCGTGGTCTTGGAACCTTGATTCACATCTGTATGGACCATTTCCAACCGCACTTTCTTCAATTCTCTGGCAGTCCTTGTGAAGCTAACTCGTTTCTGCTTGCTCATAACGTAGTTCTCACAACGACCCACATCAACAGATTTCAGACCTTCTAAAACTCCTTTTGCAGCCACCGTCTTCATTCCTTTCACGCTCATATGTCCAAGTCTATTGTGCCATAGACTTGAATTTGAAGCACTCTCAGCAACAATAGCTATGTATTATGTCTAACGGGAATGAAGTAAATTGAATTTGAAGCACCTCATACACCCTACAGTGGTGTATGAGGTTCCAGATTTTGAGCTATGTGCTACCACCGTAGCACCCTTTATAATCTTCCACGAACTCTTCCCTAACTTTGTTGTATAACCTGTGTTGTTCAACTGACCAATAGAGATCAGATTCTTCTTGAAACAAAGAATATATCTGATGTCCTTTAATGTCTACAGATTTCCTGCCGAAGTTTTTATGCAGACATCTTCTTTTCCTTTAATCTCCAAATCTTTGTTGTCGGCAAGATACACCTTCTCGAAATTTTCAAATTTCGGAACAACTCTTTATTTGAAGACGAATGAAAAGATGCACCTGAATCCAAAATCTAGGATTCAATCGAACTATCCACACTGAGGATCAGAGCATCTCCAATGTCTTCTGTTGAATTTATAGAATCATCATCATCTCCAGATTTGTGATTATGCTTTCTCTTTGGTCTTGTACAATATGTCTGAAGTGACCTTTTTCTCCACAATTCTAACACGTTACGTTTGGTCTATTTGAAGATTTTTCTCGATTTTTTGATTTTGATTGTCCTTTGTTTGGGCCCTTCGGTTTACTTCTTCCCCGTTGGTCAACACAGAGAGTACTACCAGATGAATTTTCAGTTTCTTGTTTGCGAATATTTTCGTTGAGAACGACATCTCGAATTTCATCAAACTTCAGTTTATCAGATCCTCGAGAACTGCTGATTGCGGCAACAACAGTATCCCACAACTCAGGTAAAGATGACATCAAAATAAACGCTTTAGTTTCATTCTCGAAATTAATTTTTACCGAACTCAATTGACTTACAATCATATTGAATTCATTTATATGATTAGCAACAGATCCACCTTCAGACATCTCTAGATTAAACAATCTCCGCATCAAATACACCTTGTTCATAGTCGACGGTTTTTCGTACATACTTGATAGCGCCTTCAACAGATCTGACGTGGTCTTCTCTTTGATGATGTTGAACTCCACGTCTCTGGATAGCGTCAACCGGATCAGCCCTAAGGCTTGTCGATCCTTGAGCTTCCACTGCTCCGTGGTTATGGTATCCGACATCACTCCCAACAGGGGTTCATGAAGATCTTTCTGGTACAGATAATCTTCAATCCGCATGTTCCAGAAACTGAAATCGGATCCATCGAACTTCTCAATTTCAATCTTTGAACTTTCCATCTTCACAGATCGTGGTGACTTCCGTCTAGCTCTGATACCAGTTGTTAGGATCACACAACAACGCACACACTCGATCAAGATGAACACAAAGAACAAGATAGAGAAAATGCAAGGAGAATATTGGCTAAAGGATTTGTATTGATGACTCCATATGCGAGTTTGGTCTGTCTTTTTTCCATTTATATTAGTCCTCTGTTTTCAGATTGTCGTGTGCCTACAAGACACTCCGCACCCGTGTCTCTATTTATGTTGATTTTCAGGTGTTAGGTGTTGTCGATTTTGGTTGATAAAAGCATATGGTGCTGATAATGAGCTTCAAAGAGTTTAAATGTCATATTCATAAGACAATGCAAATCATTTAGAGAAACATATCCAGGTGATGGCCCTTGCTAGTGGGGAAGAATCCATGGAAAAGACCCGTAGCTCAATGATGGTAGAGCACTCAATACGGTAAGAGGGAGGTTAGTGGATCGAATATGTATGGGTTCATTCAGTAGATAGCCATTTGGCCATGCCACTTACGGTACCTATTGGGTCATTAGCGTGCGGCCACGAGGAGGGCAGGTGCTGCTAAAGCCGATATGAGGGGACGCATGAGCTCGAACTGTGGGATAAAACTAAGTGTTCGATGTTGATTAGGTATGAATAAATGACAGAAAGGCTCATACATACTTTCTAGTAAAAGGAGACCCACATAAAAGGCAACAAAAACTAATCAAAGTTCATTAGCACTTTAAAGAACTCACTTAAATATTTGATACCCAAACATTTGAGTGGGTTGGATATAATACTCCATTAGAGTGAATATTTATACAGCAGAAAGAAATATTTGAATCAGGGTATCTCGTCACTCAAATGAGACTTTTCCTAAAGAAAACAAGAATGCAATCGTCACCCAAACGAGACTTTTCCCTAAAGAAAACAAGAAATAAATGCAATGAAATGCAATCTAACGTCGGACAAATCTGCCACATCAATGTATAAATACTAATTATTTATGTAATGAATTAATTAAATAAAATTTCACTAATCATACTAATAAAATTAAAGATGGTAGAGTCAACCTATTTATCAACATCTCTACTAAATAGGTAAGGAAGTGTTGATGTGATTATGAAGTTTATTTTGTATTATTTATTTCTCAAATCATTTATTATTTTTTTATTTTTCGTTCCTTTTTTAATTCTTTTATTATCTTTGTTTTTTTTTTTTTTCAAATATATTTTTAATTANGATTATTTATGTTATTATTGTTTTTTTTATTAGCTCTTCTAACTCATGTTCTTTTTTTGTAATTATTTGTGTTTTGTGTGTGGTTTTGAGATTTCCTTTTAGCTATTTATTTTTTTGTTTGATTTTTTATTGATAAAAATTATTTTTATCTGCTAATCTTTTTCAAATGGTATAAAAATTATTATTATTGATAAAAATAAATAAATAAATAAATAAATATATATATATATATATATATATATATATATATATATAGAACATATTGTAATCTTCCATGCGCATTTTTAAAGACCGAAGTAGTTATCACGTTGAACGCGGGAGAATTGTTAATTCTAATTAGTGAACCGAGAAGAACTTATGAGTCTTTGGAGTTCTTCTTCTTCTTCTTCTTCCTCCTCTCATTTTCGCTCCTCTCTCCCGATCGCTGCCTCAGGTTAGTTCGTTCTCCTGTAATAAATATTTATTTTGCAATTAGCAGGCAATGCGTTTCTAGCCGATCGAAAATTAAATTTGACCTTCTTTGTTGTCATTTGGTACATTTCTGAATACGGCACCGATCGGTGAACGCTGACTCCGTATTTCGCTATTTGGCTTGCATTATTCAAATGTATCATCTCTTGCTTTGTTTTGTTTTATTTAATTTCCCTCTCGGATTGATCTGTAAGCCTCTCTCGTTGACTAACTCTGAATCTAGGAGAAGCGTTTATTTCACGGAGGTGTGTGGATCAATGTATCTGGTAATTTTACACTGCAGATTTCTGAATCTTTCGTTTGCTCTGTAGAGTTGTCGGTGTTTTTTCCCCATCACTTTCGCATTCAATGTCCTCTAATCTACTTGAATTAAATATTATTGTTGTTTTTATCATTTTCCGCGATTTTCTTTTGTTCTATTTTGTGTGGGGGAGGTTACCTTAATACATCATTCAACCAAATTTGTCAAGCTTCAATGCTTGACAATCCTCCAATCCCTCATTTACTCATAATTATTTTGAACACGCAGTGGACCAAGATATTTAATGTTTTGTTGCAAGTGCTGAAATAATTAGTTGAGCCCTTAAAAGTAGATTACAGTGTCTTTTATATGTATGATAGCCTTCTGAATGTTGTAGGTTCAATTTGCTCTGTGCTTATTCAACATGTTTCTTTTTAAACGAAGGGGCTCCCAAAACAATGGTGCAATCGATGATTCTTCACCGCAGGATGCGAAGGTAGACAGCTACTTTTAACCTTTTTTTTCCCCTCTTTCAAATGTAATTTTATAGAAACAGAAGTGATGAATTGAATTATGATCTGTAATGAACAGATCAATGAACTAAGAGCGGCACTTGGGCATCTATCCGGTCATAGTTTAAAGTACTGTGATGATGCATGCCTTCGGAGATATTTGGTAGCTCGGAATTGGGATGTTCACAAATCAAAGAAAATGCTGGATGACTCACTCAAATGGAGGGCAACTTATAAGCCAGAGGAAATCAGATGGGTTAGTTTGATATCAATCTTTAAGTTCTTTACCTTTTCTTTAAACTCTCTAAGCTACTTCTAAGTACGAATGTGCGTTTATACCATTATAAGAGGGGGAACGATTGCCTTCTAAACTTTTGATCGAAGTAATTCCAAGTTAGTGAGAACAAACTAGTGTCACACAGAAAGAGGAAAAAAGCTTATTCCTAACTATTTAGATGCTGAAAATTCTTCAATCTCAATCCCCGTGGAAATTTAGGACTATATATATATATATTGACTTCCGATAGTCTCATAAAATTAGAAGGTAGATTCTTTAAGAACGGGAACATTTCAGTTTGTTTAGGAAAATGGTCTTAATTTTGTATTGACTTTTTTTTATTTTATTAGTATCGTAAATTTAGATTCGTAGGCTTATTGTAGGATGAAGGGATATAGTTACCTACATTCCAGGCCGAAAGTTGTCTTGCAATTATTCTCCACCCTCCTATCCATCTCAGGCTTTCTCTGACTTTCCTTCTCATAAATGATATTATGGGCTTATTCAAAACAGATATCCAAAAATAAATACATCAATTATCGTCAATGGTTCAACCATAAATCTTCACATACTATCTTGCCACTTATTTTCTTTCTCCACAGCTCATCTTCCATGAATCTTGAGAATCAACGTGCTTTTAAGTCAATAGACATGTGTTTTTTTTTTTTGGGCAAGGAAAAAATCTAAATCTGTATTATTCCTATCAAATAGAATTTATCTTGAAACATTAATAATGGTAGTAACAATGATATTTTATTATTATTATTTCCTAATATTCAATTAAGAGAAAACAAAATATGATTAATAATTTTGATTATACCTGGAAGTTAATTTGAGCATCGTGAGCGATGAGCGATAATAGACACATATTCACTTTATATTTCACAAACTTTCATTGTGATGCAGCACGAAGTGGCACATGAAGGTGAAACGGGCAAATCTTTTAGAGCAAATTTCTACGATCGTTTTGGTCGATCGGTGCTCATATCCAGGCCAGGGATGCAGGTATTTTATTAAGATTTTCTAGGGTTAGTGCAAAATCAAAATTTAGAACCAATTCAAAATCAATATGATTAGTATTTGCGTTATAAATTCCCATAATAGCATCGTTGTGAAACAAAGCATGGTTGAAAGAAAAACTTTGTTAAATAAGTTTTTAAACTTAGTTGTTTAATAAATTGAAAAATAAAAGTTGAAAGATTAAACTTTAATAATAAGAAAAATTGACTTGGTTTCCTGGTGAAATTTCAGAATACAAACTCGCCAGAAGACAATGTCCGGCATGTAGTGTATGTTTTAGAGAACACCATTATGAACCTTCGCGATGGCCAAGAACAGATATCGTGGCTGATAGACTTTACTGGATTTACAATAAACACCAACATCTCTGTCAAAGCAGCACGAGGCATAATTAACATACTGCAGAGCCACTATCCAGAAAGGCTTGCTATTTCTTTTCTCTACAATCCTCCAAGAATCTTTCAAGCCTTCTGGAAGGTTAGAATTCGAAGCTGTCTTTACTTCCTTACTGATTGAATGTTGAACTTTGAAGTCGATTTTGGTTCTAAAATCTCTCCTTTTGGAAGGCTATCGAGTACTTTATTGACTCAAAGACCGCTCAGAAAGTACACTTTCTATACCCCAACAACCAGGACAGTGTGGAGCTAATGAAATCTTTCTTCGACATGGAAAACCTTCCAAGTGTATTTGGGGGGAAAGCCACTCTAACTTACGACCATGAAGAGTTCTCAAAAATGATGACAATAGACGACCTGAAAACCGCCAAGTTTTGGGAGTTCAGCGACAAGCCTTGCCGCCATATGAACGGACATTCAGGCCCAGAGGTGGCACCGGAAGAGCCAATGCCCATCTCAGTTTCATCAGCTTGGAAGGGTCTGTCTCATTCTTTGGATCTCTAATTTGCATGAACTAAGTTTAGTCCTGTCATTATGTTTAGACCCTTTTTTCAGATCAGAAATAAGTGATGAACCATAAACAGAAGCTTTTGATCAAATTTCTCTTTTCATAGCCAGAATGGATGTAAATTACCTTGAAATGATGCAATATTGAACCAATGGGCAGAGAATAATGACAGAAATTCAGAGTTTCTAATTGGCTAATAAGATCAAAATTGAATAATCTCTCTTTACAAATGTTATCATGGGCAGAAGGCAAATGAGGATGGATTCGAAAGATTAATTAATGATCAACCTTGGTTTGATGAACCAATGGCCGGTTTCTTACTCTGCTTGGCAGCAAAACGGTACACGACGACTCCGATTCTCGATCCTGGCGGTGGAGGATCTGTATGTAAGACTTCCACTTCGAACAACTTTCTCGCTTTCCTGAAGAAGCCCGAATCCTTCTTCCACCGCCGTAAATGGGCCATCACAAACACCATTTTGGGGTTTCCTCCGCCTAAGAGAAACCCGCTCAGCGTTTGGATAAGAGGGTCGTATAAATGGTCATGGTACACAACATCGGAAGCCAATATGAGATCAAATTCTCGCCCAATCAATTCGGGGTAAATGGCCTCTCCCCAATGAAGCGGCGCCACCTGAACAAAACCGCCGTTAGCCGCCAGAATGCTGGCGTTGGCTTCGACATTGAATTGGAGGTTGGAGATCACGTGCGAGAGATCGGTTACTGTCACTTGTGCTCCGAGAGTGGCGGCTGCGGCGATTCCGACTAATCCGGTTCCGGAGCCGATCTCTAGAATTTTCAGAGTTCGACGTTCCGAACCGTCGCGTGACGCGGTGAGAGTGGGCGTGAGAGGGTTGGTTTCAGGATGAGAGCGTTGATCGTCGAGAAGGTTGACGAGGGTAGTCGCCGCCGGCCAGAGCTGGAATGAGAGTCCTTGGGAAGGTAGCTGCCTGATTGATAGAGTCGAGTTGATTGAACGGATGAAATGGTGCTGCAATTCAGATGCTACACCATCATTTGGAAGAGACAATTTGTTTATACCAGCTTCCTCCGCCGGAAGGATCACAGAGATGGGGCTTATGTCGTCGTCGTCGCCGCCGTCGAGTTCAGAAGACATGATACTGAGTCTGGAGTTCTTGTTTGCGCCTCTCTTCCCCGAATTTTTTGCATCCGTCTCGACGAATCCGTTAGGGCAGTTTTCGCTTTTCAGTTAGCCCAAGAAGGCAACTGGGTCTGGTCTTTTTCGGTTTTGAGGCCCAGGCTCAATCCTTGAAATTTCGACTTCGGCCCATTGGGGCCGGACGTTATTCCCCATTTTCTTCGCGGGAAATTGATTGCTGTGATTTCGTTTCGCTAGTCAATCGGCACAAGAATTTCTTAGATCCAGACGGTACAAACCGTGCGATTCAGCGCTGTAATCAACCGGAGTGCTCGGGGTTCGGCCTACCATGATACGTGCGGTGATAGTGATGAATACCCAGGGCAAGCCTCGGTTTGCTAAGTTCTACGATTTTCAGGTCCCTTTTTTTTTTTTTTTTTGTAATTTTTGAGGCACTTCTATTAAATGCCTGACCTGTCTGATGATGAATTCTTGAATTCAGCCTGTCGAGAAGCAGCAGGAGCTCATTCGCAGCGTCCATGGAGGTTGGCATTTCTGTATTTCAATTAGATTTTTGCAAATTACGAAAAACGATCCACTCTCGCCACTATTTATTTATTTAACCTATATTTTGATTCTGATTTCTTTTGTTTTCTGGTTTGGTACAGTACTTTGCAGTCGAGCTGAGAACGTGAGCAATTTCGTCGAGGCTGAGTCCATCTTCGGTCCGGTAATTTTTCGTTGATCGCATGATTCCTTGTAACAATTTCCTTTCTAGTACCATATGTAGGATGTATTGCATTGATGATTCTTGGAGAAGCTAGATATTTGTCAAAAATTAATGTTGATTGGTCTTGTTCAACTGATAGCAGCGTAAAGAGCGGCCGGGTGATCAGTGCCAGATGAATTTAGTTTTATGTGCCTTTATTTGTACTGGAATTGCTTTAACTTTGTCTTCAAATGACCCGTTGGGATTGGCTTATTCTTTCTGCTGCAGGACTCTCGTGTTGTATACAAACACTTCGCAACCCTTTATTTCGTGTTTGTCTTTAACAGTTCTGAGAATGAGCTTGCCATGCTTGACCTGATCCAAGGTACTTCCAATATTATATGTGATGGATTAGTGACCACTGGATCAACTTTGATATAAATATTATTTACATTCTTCCAGGCATCAATGAGGACTTCTATACAACTCGGTCCCTCAAGTTTTAAATTGGATATTATCTTGTTATGTTTTGACATTCTTTAGTATGTAAGTAACAGAAGTGGTGAGAAGTAATAAGTACAAAAAATGGTGAAGAGGTTGGGCTTAGAATTCTCTCACTGAAGAGGCCAGAGTAATTGCATAACTCGATGTGAATTGAACCAACTATAATGTTAAATCATCAAAACTTATCACTAAGTGATATGCGCCTTTAAAGTGGAATACACATGATCGAACCAATCAGTCATATTTGAATGCATTTGAATGTAGATCTTCAGAAGTTTGTTGTGATATACGTAGTGCAGTGATATGATTAGCCCTACTTTGTCAGTTTTTGTAGAAACATTGGACAAGTGCTTCAAAAATGTATGTGAGCTCGACTTAGTGTTCAACTACACCAAGGTCCTCTCTCTCTCTCTCTCTCTCTCTCTAATGCAACACATAAATGTAGATGTGGGAACGCACGCAGTGCCACATAGAATAGGAAACAAGTGGTGTCTGTTGTTTGTTTCTCAAGTTTGTTTTTTGAAATTGCCAAGTGCACTCAGTTCATGACATAACATTGTTTGGTTGGAAGTACTGCATGACAATCAAGGCATTCTTCTGAACATTTAAATTGGAAATAATATGAATAAAACTTTTCATGCAGATGCATTCTATTTTGGATGAAATCATTTCTGGTGGTCAAGTGCTAGAGACTAGTTCTGCTGAAGTGGTGAAGGCTGTTGAAGAAATATCCAAGTGCTCTCTCTCTCTCTCTTGCATCCATAAAACTGTCGATTGCTTTATTTGCTCGAGTATTAATACTGTTGATGTCGTTGTATTGGCATTGCAGGTTAGAAACAGCCTCGAATTCTATCAACTTTGTCTCCAAAACAGTTTCTGGTTGGCGGGGTTGAGTTTGCTGTTTTAAGCGAGCTGGTTAAGCGATTCAGCATGCATTCCTTTGATGCCTTGCCTTCAAATTATTACTCTGTTGTGTTGACTCTGACTGATTACTTGGATAGCCAAGTCACCAAGCTATCTTACTCATGGACGACACATTTGCCTCATTAATTCCTCCTAGAACATAGATTGATCAGACAAATTTCAGATGCCTGCTGAGTATGCAACAGGGTTTGATCGAATCAAAAGATTCCTAGGAATAGAAAACCTAACCGCTTGGTTCGGGTCTCTGTTATTCTGTATTAATCAATCATATTGATTGAATGTTGAGTTTATAAAGGTGAATGCTTCGTTGAGGTTTCTATAGAGAGACCAAACGAAAGCAGCACACTACACGTTATTTTCTTCAACTCCATGGAATTTACTTAGTGTAGCTTGACATGGTCTGATACTGATTACATTTCAAGACCTGTGTTGTGAGGGCATAAACCGGGACAAAATCCTAAAGGCTATGGCTCACGCAGATCACCAAGAACGACTTGTGCTGCATTGCGACCTGGTGCCCCCATGACACCACCTCCAGGATGCGACCCACTACCGCAGAGGTATAGTCCTTTAATTGGTGTCCTGTGATTTGACCTGCAGTACATGGAAACGGATATTTTCTTCAATATAGACTTGAAGCAAGACGAGAGAATTAATTTAAACTGAGAATTACCATCCTTTTACAGGCCGCATCAAGAACAGAGAATCTAGACCCATGGCTCCATGAAAAATATTTCCTCCTGTTATATAAATTACTCAAATTTCAACAGATAAGCATGTTGAAACTGGAAAATGTGATTTGCAAGACTTCCGATTTCAACATTAATTTTTTGTTCAGATATACTTCTAGTTTGAAGTTTTTCAGAAATAAACTCCACATTATCAAAGAAATCGAGAGAAGAAAAATGAACCATGAGGTTTCCATATTGGGATTTACCTGTCAGACCAATTTCCCTCTCAAGATCAGGTGGTGTCAGCATGTCATAACCAATGATTGATGAGCTGAAACCAGGTGCATATTCATCAATCAACTTGAAACATCTTTGGGCATATAAATCCTACAAAGATAAGAGTGCCATTCTTGTCATACTGACAACAAATGAAAAAATAGCAAGGTCCAAAGATCAATATCAATTCAAAAGGTTGGGAAAATGAAACCATATAAAAAAAAAGTAAGGTCATTAATGGACAAAAGAGCCACAGTGAGCGTACGAACAAATACATAAACAACTTACTCTGTATGTAACATCTTCCCAGCACCCATCTAAAGGTTTGTAAGGCGTATACTGCGTAAATAAACTGACTACGTGCTTACCTACAATAAAACTCTTGAAAATTTACAGCCAATGGGATAATTAGCAGCATACCGTAGCTTTATCAGTATCCTCCATTCTAAAATCGGAACATGTCCTACTTTAGGAACGGTAACAAACAAGGATAGTTCTTAAGCTAAACAGGTAGAATAGTGATTGGGGGAGCATATGAACTACAATACCAGGGGGAGATATAGTTTTGTCCAGAGAGGAAGGAATTGTCATCTCCATAATAGGTCGTCTTGATGGAAAGCCATTCCAGGCATCTTGGCAAGCTTTGCCAATATCTTCCATTCTAAAAGAGAGACCAAGAAAGAAAGGTGAGGATTGTAATGATAATCAAATGCATTACTTCCCAAAACAAGGCATTACTTCCCCCCCCCCCCCCCCCCCCCCCCCCCGTTGAAATTGTTCGTTTGGAAATTTCCCGAAAAGCTAATCATAGGTTCTTCTCTCCCCGATTCATATTGATCTCGACCACTAACAACAGAATCGCTGTTAAATGCATTCAATGTCATAAAAGAATTAAAAGTAGGCATAACGTGATGAGTTTCTCTAGCATGCAAAACAAATATTGAAAATGATTCTGGTGCTGCTACTAATGACATGAAGATAATAGTATTGTCTCTCCTACCTTTCAGCACCAATATGAATAGTTGCTGTATGCTGAGGACCCACCTCTTGACTATTCAAGTTGCAAGAATGGAACTGCGGCAATTTGTCAACAGCAACGTTTATTTTTGTTGTTCCCTGTTCTAGCCAGCAAGTCCAAGCATGGGAACGAAGGTTAGAAAAAAAAAGTAACTACAAAATACTTCTTTTTCTAATTGAACATTTGGAAAGACGTATTATTAGCATTTTTTCATTTTTATTACTTTTAAAGACGTTCCTTTATGGTAGTTTAAAAGCGAATGATAAAACTCAAACTCGAGGAAAAGAAAAGGTCATCTATCTGTCTTGCAAGGGTCATGCCTTTGTAACTCGTCAAGTCATCCCAACTAAAAGAATCCAAGAAAAGTGGTGGACTTAAAAGGATCTTACAACTTTAAGAGCATTATAGATATTAAATAAATGCAAGAACAGTGGAAACATGAGCTCAAGCCCTTGCCCTTTTTATTCATCAATCATCATCAGTGAATATTTTTCCAACCAGTTACCTAAGCAAATAACAGCAGGGATACCTTCCTGATCGTCAAAAAGAGATCCACATACCCACAACCACAGTGAAACTCATTTAACTTAAAAAAGAAAAGGCTGAGGTTCCTTATTATATGTAAATTTGATTTTAGTTGAGCAAATTGCAGTTTGGTGGAGGAAAAAATTTGCATTTGCTTCCTTTTCTAAAGAAAGGTTGAGATTGTAACGGCCCAAGCCCATCGCTAGCAGATATTGTTCTCTTTGGGCGTTTCCCTCAAGGTTTTTAAACCGCATATGCTAGAGAGAGGTTTCCACATCCTTATAAAGAATGTTTCATTCTCCTCTCCAACCGATGTGGGATCTCACAAAAATTCTTTTGATAATGAAAGCCTGAGAGCAATGGTAAACTAATAAAAGGATCTCATAACTAAATATAAGGGAAATATGAAGTTCTGAGAAGTTGAGACATTTATTCCATTTCAGAAAAATAGCAAGAAAAATAATCAAGTACGTCTTACTGAGGTATAGTTGGAACATTTGATAGCATGTAGAAAATCATCTGGAAGAAAAGTATGAGGCACCATTTCCTACGACAGAAACATTAAGACGAGAAACTGAGCAGCACAAATCGACGTTAATGTGTTTTATCTCTAATGTAAAGCATTATACCATGAATGTTTTATAGGGGGTTGCATTTGATAGAACAACCGATGAATGTACTTGTGTCCCATCCACCAGCAACACCTTAATTAATAAGATATAGCAGATATATAAGAATATAAGAAGATGCCTCTAGATGGACCAAGAAAATAAATAACTAACCCCCTTTAATCTACCAGAGTCTTCCATCATCAATTCTGAAACCTGACCATCAAGATGAATATTGTATATGAGTAAAAGTAAATGGACTAGCTTCAAGACTAAATCCAGTTGTTGTCAAGACCTGAATATTGTAATAGAATACCTCTGCATTTGTTGCAATATGAACTCCAGCTTCTTTGGCAGCGTTACTTATGGCCATGGATACCGAACCCATCCCACCTTCAACATGTCTACAATTAATGTTAATATTCTTCAATGAATATTGTTAAAATGCTGTGAAGCACATGCAGTATACAATACAATTAATTTCGAGGATAAAATCCCAACATCGCTTGAAACCTACATGTTTGCTTGCATAAATATCATTAAATTAACCTGATTGTTAATTCAAATTGCCAAATTGGCTGTCTGTACTGTAAATATTTATAAGACGAGATACTCACGACCAAATATTACGGTCACCATGAGTAGTTTCTCCCATTACATGATGTAGTAGGACATATCCACTTCCAGAATTATTGATGCTTGTCTGCCAAAGATAAATTGAGAATCATCATTTGATGTAGGAAAAAATAAGTTGACTTGATGGATGAGCTTCAAAACCATTATAACTAGAATGTTTAATCTCCAAAACTGAATTGGAAAGAAAATTTTAGTTGATTAACAAAGACAATGTACCATTTATATTAGCAGTAATATATACTAATATTTCCTATTATCATGTTCTGTATCAGGAGTTGATCATGATTCTGCGTTGATAGAAGAAGGCTGATCTTCTAGTATGACTTGTTGTACTTGTTCATTAGTTAAATCTTCAGAAATAAAGGATACAGTTGTACTTGTTCAACCTATAGAACAAGTCCTGTTCAAGTAAGGTCGTCTCAACGATTACATCTATCTATGATGACGATATAAATTCCTAGAGCCATTAGTATTCATGACACAGAAGATTCTCTACTATAGAGAGAAAAGGGGGATGGAGTCAAGGCGTTAGCGCTCTAGAAAGATTGCAGGGCGTTGAGGCTCGACTAAGAATCTCGAAAGGGCTTTTGAAGCTTACTTTGCTACAGAGGACTGTTAGGTTAGCGGGGGATGGTGTATAATAATCATGATGCTCAAATGAATTTAGTATACAACAGAACCAAATTTAAACCGAAGTATAAAGTCTCACCATTGTCCCAATGATGGCATCTCCTGCAAGTGTTGCCTTCAATACGTCCGACTGTGTGAACCAAAAATAAGGTTAGAATTGAAAAGGTTATTAACCACAAAACATCCATCCAGGCAGAGAATCAAATAAAAAGCAAGAGAAACTCAGACTGTTGAGGCTACCCTGGAGCTAACATTTTAATGGAGAAAGCATAAGCAAATCTCTGGCTAATTAAACATCTGAGAAACTTTTAAAACATTTGGCAGATCTTAGCATCTAAAATATGAACTCACAACCAAGATAAACTTCTCAAAATCCAAGTAAACGAAGTCCATTATTACCTCAAACCACTCATTTAAGACCTTAGAAGTTGGTGATACTAGAAGGTCTATCAACTCCCTATCAAAAATTAAATAAAGAGAGGCATCAGAGAGTAACAAATTAAATCAATGCCTAGCAAAGACTATCCTGGTTCAAATTACTTACACCATATCTTTTTGTCCTAATGATAGCGCATGCTGGAGACAACGACCCCAGAAAATAGAGTTCTGCACCTTCTCTCTCAACCGGTCATTAAATGATGAACCCTTATGTAATGCTTCAGGAGTTCGCGAATCCAAGATAAAATCCATGAACTTACAGTACTTATGAAGCTGTCTTTCATATCTATTCATCAGCCACGAACCAAGTTTACAACAAAATCCACGATAAACTAAATGATCAGGCTTAATGATAAGAAAGATGTTATAAAGCGAGAATCACCTTGGGTACGCCTCTGCATCCCTTCTTGAAAACTTAGATATCTCCAAGTAATCATGTTCATCGTCCATTCCAAGTAGAAGATGACGACCATCGAGGCAGGGTGTAAAAGATGCAGCCATGGGTTTCAATAGCTTCAACCCATGTCTCCCCAATTCCAGGTCCCTTCAATTTCAATCCCGAACGCCATCGAAATGAAATGAAAAATAGCCTCACAGGCAACAAATGGTAAATCGGATCAGAAAAGAGAAGAGCTACAACTACCTGATGATGGAGGGCCGAAGGAGGCTTAGGAGGTAACTACAGCGAGAGAATTTAAACCCTGGAATCAGCTCTTCGGTAACAGCAGCGCCGCCGATCACATGGCGCCTCTCAAGCACCGCAACAGAGAGGCCGCCACGGGCAAGATAAGCGGCGGCTATCAAACCGTTGTGGCCGGCGCCGACGATGAGCGCATCCCATTTCTTCTCCTTCAACACCGCGCGCGTTGCATTGCTGCTGAAGCTTCGATTCCACATAGCTCCGTCTCTATTCCTTGTAAACAACAGCTAAATTCGCTCATGTCTTAATGGATAAACGGAAAATTCAACTTCAATCCAACCATTTCAGATCGTCCGTGGGATTGTTACTTATCCGTGGGATCTTTGCATGCGATCGGAAGCACTTCCATATATTACAACACAGAACAGGAAAATTCCCGATGTTGGCGCGCAATCGCTTTCGTATATCAAGCTGCTTTGTCCTTTCAATAACAATTTTAGTACAAACTCCATTTTTGTACTCCTCATGATGTGACCAATCTTGATTGCAACTTTAAATACTTTAAGCTATAAATTACCATTGTAATTCGTAATTTTGGTATATTTATATTTTATTCTTTATTCTTTATTTTTAAAATTTTTAAATATATCATAAATCAACTAAATACAAAATCAAGAGTAGAAAAAGAAAAAAAAACATTTGAATTTCACTTGTAATTTATTTATTTATTTATTATTATTACTTTGCAATCCTACCTTTCCTTCTTCCTTTTCTGAACCCTACTTCACGTTCAGCCGCCTTCAATATTTCAAGCCAGTGCAGCCCGTCCTGCCGCACCCCCGACGAATTCTCCGCCGCTAATTCTCCAGATCCCGAAGAGTTTTTTGAACCCTCAATCTCTTGCAATCCCAGTCATCTCAGCTTCTCCCAATCCCTCGTAGTTGCAAGCCTCAATACGGCCTACTCTGTTCCGTCTTCTCTCCCTCCCCTCAATCTCACTCACTCCGCCTTCTTCAAGGTTTGTCTTTTTTAGGTTTTGCACAGTTACGGTTGCTACAATCTCGATTATATTTATATACATTGGTCAATCGTCTAATATGCTGTTCGAATGTCTGATATCAATGAGTAATTAGTTTGAGTGACTACGTTTTTCCAGCCCAAGCATGTAACCGTGATTCGATAGTTACAGTCGCAATTTTGTTTAGGACTGATGTATAAACGTGAGATAATCCAGTGAGTTCTTTTTTTCTTGACATTCTGGGTCTTCTATTTGCAAAGCCTCTCCATGAAGATGATTATCAGTTGTAGACTTTAGTTTTAGAATTCTCAAATTGCTTGAGATACGAATTGTAACTCAGCATGAACTTTTGTATGGATGGCTCCCCTATTGAAGCAACTTCTTTACTTTCTCTGAATGTGATCTGATTCTAGTAACGGTTAGACAAACACGACTCTCCACAATGGTATATATTGTCCACTTTAAGCATAAGCCTTTATGGCTTTGCTTTGGCTTCCCAAAAGGCCTCAAACCAATGGAATTAGTATTCCTCACTTATAAACCCATGATCATTCCTAAATTAGCGGATGTGGGACTTTCATCATCCAACAGTAACCACCACAAGATTTCCTAACAGAGTTAAAAATCATTTATTTGCTTACTTATGCTGGGGATCGAGTCAATAGGGTGTGATGGGGATGAGGAGTGGCTGAGGAGATGCTGGATTATCTTTTGTCTACTACTTAATCTCTATAAACTTTCGTATGAATAAATTTATCTCAACCTAAGAATTCAATTTTCAAGTCTGGTGGAGATTTGATGAATTTTGGAGCAGAAAATCTTAAACCGAATCCCATTCATCTTAGGTTATCACACGAACAATTTGAGGGTGTTGATGGGCTTACAGTGAATAGGTTGGTGGGTTGCGTGGTTCCAGGTTGTGGAATCTCTATAATCAAGTTAACTTAATTTTAGAGTAGAAGTTTTTTAATTCAATACCACTCGAATGCTGACTATCATACCTGGTTTTGAACCAATGATCCTGTGGGAGTTCAAGTTATTGCAAGTATTTTTCTGCCCGTTCTTATTGGCTTGCCAAATTATAATTTTGGTGATGTATTCTCCAAAGAGCCTTTCCAATTACAGTTTTAAGGCATGAATTTGCTGCTTGTCTAACGTTAACCATTTCTATTTCTTCTGTTTCCAACAAATATGGAATATATGATCTCTCAAATATCAGTAAACCAAGTAGTTTGTTAATTCCATCGTAATAGGTGAGCAGGAACTATAATGGAGGCCAAGTTTTTTCGGTTCCTGAAGATTGTGGGAGTTGGTTACAAAGCCAGAGCAGAAGCAGCAGGACGTCTCTTGTATCTTAAACTGGGATACAGCCACGAAGTTGAACTAACCGTTCCACCAGCTGTTCGTGTCTTTTGCTTCAAAAACAATGTGGTTTGCTGCACGGGTATTGACAAACAAAGGGTGCACCAATTTGCTGCTGCAGTTCGTAGCTGTAAGCCGCCAGAAGTATACAAAGGCAAGGGCATAATGTATATCGACGAGGTCATAAAAAAGAAACAAGGAAAGAAGTCTAAATAGATGCCGGGAGCGAAAAAATGCCTCGCATCGATCTTTATTCAGACATATAGTGCCTCAGTTAAGAATAATTGGGTTTATTGTATGCATTTTAGAGCATTCCATAGATTAAGCCATGCGACTGAAATTTGGTTGCTTCAATGCCTATTCTTGAAATGTTATCCCATTGATCCAATATGTTGGAGTTGGCAAATCATGCAGGAAAGAAGTATATTAGAGTTGAGAGTTAACTCTTGCCTGTGTTTTGAGTTGTAATGATCATTTTCCATGTTCAATGTCTACCCATCTTTTCTTGTTAACAAACTTCCGCCAATTCTCGGTGATTATTCAACATGCTTTCTTCCTATTTAGAAATTGAAGGATTGACTGAATGACATGACAACTACAAATTTGTACGGGAATATGCATGCATTAGGAAATGACGGCTGCCTGAAACGTTTTACTGTATATTTGAGATGAATTCTTACATCAATATTCTTCCCAGTTTAAATTACATTTTCAAACAAGTAAAGCACTCTTCCAAAAAGTGTACTTTAACCAACAAAATGATTTAGGAGGGAATGATACAAAATAAGGTGTCTTAATCAAAACATGATTCTGTCTTCAGATATTCAATCTGCCTTCAGATATTCAATCAACCAGATTATTCGAATCTTACCAGTAGTGATTCCTTATCATTTAATATCAAAATTTTCCTTTGAGTTGATTCCTTATTACTACTTTTCACTTTGAAGAGTGATAGCCAAAATAAGAACGATGGAAAGAACTTAATTGATCTTCAGCATAAGGATGGAAAGAACTTAATTGGTCTTCAGCATAAAAAACTTGAAAGACTTATCACGATTATGAGAGAAATAGTAAGTCCACTTTCAAATACATCATATATAAACTCGATCAACCCCAATTCTTTTCCAACACTATGCTAAAATAATAAGCTTAAGTCGTGACTCTTGGGGCCTTGAGTAGGTAGACACTCCTCATTAGACCTTTACCAGTTTCACCAACAGATTTTAGCACTTCAGCTGGTTCTTTTTCCTCCTCAACACCTTCATCACGTCCACGCTTCTGATAAGGTGAGAAGATTCGGTTCGGTCAAATAAGTAAAATGTGATGATATAATTTGCTCTCTTCAAATGACAAGTAAACTATGTACCTTTGAACTGTGTTGCCCCCAAGTTAGTCCAATTGCATCGCCTCCCAAAGAGTCATACCATAAGTTGAAAGTGTTGGAGAATTCTTTCTACATTTTCATAGAGATGGAGGAGGGTAAGCAATAAAATCGACGATAATAATGCAATTTCAAAACATATCAAGTCACTTGCCTGCAGATCCGCAATATAACACCTTAATGGATCAAAATTTACAAAAAGCTTGTCCTTGATGTTCTCAGAACTTGCTTTCAAGTTTCTAGGCAACAAGAATGGAGAGAAGATCTTGCTAGGATTCCCTTTTGCGACATGAACTCCTACCAAAATATGCTTATGGTTAAACTTCAGATATCAAAAGCATCAACAGGCAATCCACAAAAAGGGAACATCAAGAAAAATTATTTTCGGACAACTTAAGAAGAATACCTCGGTTCAGTTCAGATGGGAAGAGAAGGCGTTGTGGGTATGGTAATTTATCTCTATGGAGAAGAATAACAGCATCGTAGTTGCTCAATGGTGTTCGGAAAAGGCACTGTAGACCAAACAAACATTACACCGTAAGTTTCTATGCAACAGCAGCATCCAAAGACGAAAAGAAAACAATCAAATAATGGTTTTAGCATACACACTCACCTCCCACAGAAAAGAGTCGACCTGATGCTGTAATATTAGTCTAGTCAACAAATCTGCGCTGCTTCTAGCATAAGCAACCAACCGTTTTAACTCCTTTTAACAAGGGCGCATAAAGTTAGTAACAGAAGAATTACAAAGCTGGAGAAATGTTGCTATACTATGTGCAATAAAGCTCAATATTTAAGGTCATGGTTGGCAATAGTAATACTATGTTTGGATATAGTTTTTTGCAAATTATTTTTTGTCTTTCAAAACCGCAGGCTGATTGTCTTTAATTATTAATAGAACATAGGGTACGTAATTTTCATGTGTTTTCCAAGTTTAACTATAAACATACAGTCCATATATTTTTTAGTAAAACTTCAAAAAAAAAATAGATTAAATAAAAGTTTGGTCCTTTAACCTTTTGTATTGTGACAAATTGGTCATTGTTCTTTTAGTTCCAGAGTTTTTAAAAATAGGTCATTTTAGTCCTTGAGTTCTCAAAAGATGCATTTTAACCAAGTTCGAGAAATATGTTTACAAGATCCCTAATATTTTTCCATTTGCTAAAATGCCAATGATTTTTTTATTATTTTCAATGGTGGCACGGCAATTGAAATTTAAACATAAAAGAAAATAATCTCTTTCCTTATTCTCTCATCTAAATAACCATTTAATCTCATAAAATTTGGCAATGAAACCCGATCCAAGCCTTAGATTCATTAGAAAATAGCTCAAACTTACCGATGATTTTGGTGAGAACCTGGTCCAAGCCTCGGATGCCTTGTCATAAGCTGTTGCTAAGAACATGGCAGGACTTCCACTTTGCGGATTTTCTTGTAAATTTTTTCGTGTCATGTTAAATTTGTCCTATAAAAATCCAGTGAGAATAAATAGCAGTTAAAGGTTACCCATAATTATAATAGGAACTGCTTCCTAACGTAAAAGAACTTACAGCTATTTCTTTCTCCTCGTTTGCACCCAAATCATTGTTTATGTCAATAATCAATGGAGAAAAAGTCCAATCAAATTCCGACAGTAATCTTAGGAACCTATAACGAAGTCACAGTGCAGAAACAAATTAAGTGAGCTGCGAACAAACCAAGCTATATAGGGTGTCAAATGAAAA